CCAGACAGGCTTCTGCCTCTGGGTCTTTGCACTTGCTAGTCTCTCTGCCAGGAAGGGCTATTTCCCACACCACTGTCAGGTCTTAACATAAATGTTGCCTTCGTAGTGATGCATACCCCAACTACCCTCTTTAAAATTGCATTGCCTTCCATCACTTCCTTTTCCCTTTGCTTGCTTTATTTTTTCATTTAGCCTGCCCCAAATCTATATGTCCCCTTTATTGCCCATATTTCTTAGAGTCTGGTGTTCTCTAAAATTTGATCCCAGTATGCCTCTCCAACCTTATTTTCTATTGCTTTTTTATATAGCCTGTGCTTTAACAATTTCATGTTCTCTGTATATCGTTATTTAAAAATTTTTTATTTTGCTACTTTTGTACCTTTATTTATGCTTTCTCTATCTTGTGCAATGAGCTTCCCCAATACATTTTTGTTTAGTTTTATTGCAAAAAATTATTTCCCCCTAATATTTATAGCTATAATCCTACCAAAATTTTAGGGCCCAGCTCAAATGCTACTCCTTCCATAAAATTTATGTTACCATCCAAATTAAAGTTATCTGTATCTCTTTTGAACTTTTATGCCATTTTATCTGTATTTTTATTTCTTCACTTTCCATTAATAATAATAGTACTGTTTTTCACACTTTACTTGTATGTCCTATATATTACTTTATGTGCTCTGCATGTGTTATTAGATTTAATTCTCTTTGCTCCTCTTTGCTAAAGTGTAATTATTAACTCTGAAAATAATGCATTAGCAACCAAAGGAGAACTGTGAAAGATGGAAAGAGGAAGGTGGACTGACTAGGGACCACTAAAGGAATAACACAGTGACAGAATGTCTTATGATCCCCACCCAACAGCAGAAGGCATCCCAGGCCCCCACTCCCAACCTAACAAAAGAAGGTGATGGAGGTAGGTTCATTTCTTCCTCCAGATTAAACAAGAGTCCTGCTGACAACACCAAGTGTCTTGTGGCTCCAGCAGGGGGAATTGATTGGGAGCTCCACTGACAATAAGTGGCCAGGGGAAATATTCTTCTTCCCTCCTTGGCACGAGATTCCCCTTCCCCACTAAGAGATACTAGATGGCCAGCGTGCCTGGCAAGGGGGATATTGCCATAAATGCCTAGCCCAGAAAGTGTTCTTTGTTCCTGTGGCCCAGAGATTCCTTTCCCCCACCTAGAGGTACCAGGTGACACAACCCCAGTCAGGAAGCTCACTCTCCCCTAACCCTGAGGCACCAGCAAGGACTATTGGGAACCCCAGTGGCATCAGAAAAATCAAGCAAACCAAAGTAATTGTAAATGCTCTGAAAATTAAATTGTCATTAGGACCACAGCCCACAAAATTAGGCGAGGACCTGCATACTAAGCCTAAATAGGGAGATTACCTCCTAATATAAAAGATTTAAATAGGATCCACAGTTTTCTAATGTTATAGTCAAAACATTGAGGATAAAATTAAAAATCACCCATCATACCAAGAACCAGGAAAATCACAACTTGAAGGAAAAAAGACAATCAGTGCCAACCAAAATGAATCAGATTTGGAATTATCTGGCAAGGATTTTTAGAGCAATCATTGTAAAAATGCTTTAACAAATAATTACAAAGTCTCTTAGAACAAATGGCAAAAAAATTTTCAGCAAAGCAATAGAAGTTATAAAAAAAGAAACATGGAAATTAGAGAATTGAAAAATGCAATAATAAAAATTTGAAACATGCTCAATGGGCTGAATAATAGAGTGGAAACGACAGAGTATAGAATCTGTGAGCTTGAGGATAGATTAGTAGACTTTATCTAATTTTAACAACAGGGAAAATAGAAACAAAATGAACAGAGCCTTAGGGGCATGTAGGACAGTAACAAAAGATTCAGCATTCGTGTCATCAGTGTTTGAGAAAGAGAAAGAGAGTAGGATTGAAAGAGTATTTGAAGAAATAATGGCTAAAAACTTTCCAATTTTAGCCAAAGACATAATCCTACAGATTCAAGAAGCTTGGTGAACCCCAAATGGATCAATCCCAAAAGATCTACTCTAAAATGTGTCATAATTAAACTTTTGAAAGTTAAAGACAAAGAAAATATCTCGAAAGCAGCCAGAGAGAAATAACACATTACCTATAGGGGGACACCAATTTGAATGACAGCAAATTTCTCATTTAAAACCATGGAGATCAGAAGAAAGTGGCAAAACATTTTTTAAGTGCTGGAAGAAAGGGGCTGCAGAATTCTTTATCTGGTGAAACTGTCCTTAAAGAATGAAGAGGGAAGATGTTCTGAGATGAAGGAAAACAAAAATAATTTGTCAAGAGACCTACCCTGAAAGAATGGCTAAAAGAAGTTCTTTAAACAGGAAGGAAATTATAAAAGAAAGAATCTTGGAGCACCAGCGAGGAAGAAAGACCAATGAAACAGGAAGAAATATGGGTAAAAGAAATAGACTTCTGAATCTGTGAGATGAAACTCATTCTTCTCATAAGTTTAATAATCGTATTTGATTACTATAACAAAAATTATAATACCATCTGATACTCAAGACAATGCTATTTAAAAGTAGGCAAGGTGGTGGAGCTGGGCCCAGTCTCTCCCTGCAAGTGCAAGGCCCTGTTGCAGTAGTTCCCGCCTACCCCACCAAAAAAAAAAAAAAGTAGGCAAGGTAGAGACCTTACAGGAAGTAGGTTTCTACGCTTCACTTAATGTGGTAAAGTGTTGATACCAGTAGACTGTGATAAGTCACATGTGTACATTACATTACCAAGAGCAACCACTAAGAAAACTATATAAAGTAATACTCAAAAACTCTATAAATCAATTGAGATAGAACCCCAAAAATGTTCTAGTAACCCTAGAAAAGAAAGAGAAAACTAACAAAGAAATAAGAAACAGAAGACAAATAATAAAATGACAAACTTAAGGCCTAATGTTGATATTTACCATAAAAGGATACAATATGAAAAAAGGAGAAATTGACCATGAAAAAAGATTTATCTGTGATCATAAATTATTTTTGTACATAAGACATATATGTTGTCATAGGAGATATTTATCAGTAGATTCTAATTACATTGTAACTGTTAAAGTAAAAAATCACACCGTACCATCTTGGTAATTTTGTGATTTGCTCTTTCCTAATCTAAACAGTTTTTAGATAGTATTGAGGAAAGTTTACTTCTAAAAATTATTTGTATACGTGTTCCATTTGAATTTTGTAGCAGTTAAATGAGACTGTAAGTAGACAAAGGTCACAGAAAAACGAGTACAAATTTTGTAAGCATGACAGGGAACATTCAGAATCATAAGAATCAGAATTTGGGGTGAAGAAGCAATGAGATGATTTTTTTTTTTTTTGCCTATCAGATAGGTAGGGATTAATTAAATTCATAGTATCCAGTTGTAATGAGGTGTGGAGAAATAGGTGCTATTATATACAATTAGTGGAAGTACAGATTTGATCAACATATTCTATGGTAGTTTTAGAGTAATGATCAAATTTTAACATGTTCATTTGCTTTAGTCCAGCAATTCAGATTATGGGATGCTATCTGTAAGAAGTATGCTTATTTGTTCACAGTAACATATATAGAGAGGTGTTTATTTTAATTTTATTTATAATAGATAAAGACTAGAAATAGTTGGGCTATGACCTGGTAATGAGAAATGTTTTAAAATCAAAATTAATACAAATTAATGCTTCAGAAGAAAAAAAAGAATTCCACAAAGAGCAGACATTATTTAGCTAACTTGTCTTAACTTTCATAACATTTCTCAATTCCACAATGTATTTAGGATACTTAATAAACGGTTTTGTGGTGAACTCATTAAATAATTTGAGTAATTATGAATTTCAGACAAACCCAAATGTAAGTTCAAGGTACCATGAAACAAACAAAAGTAACATTTAATTTGCTGTTATGATTATTAGTCCATTTATTTCTATGGGTAATCAAGCTAAACATAATACATGTATTTTCAAAAAGCAAAAATCATATCATATGTTTATATCAATGACATATTTATTCTAAATTAAAAATATATGTTTTCCTACCAATTTTTTAGGGCCTAGCCTGGTGCTGCCTTGTCCATGAAGTTTTTGTGAACCATCCATCTCTAAGTTATCACTGTCTCTTTTGAACTCTGATACCATTGTTTTCCACATTTTTATGTCATTTTCCTTCATATTAATAGTAATAATGCTATTTATTGCATGTTAAATCCATGCACTATAAATGATTTCGTGTGCTTTACATGTATTATCAGATTTAATTCTCACATCAGCTCTTAATGAGGTAGATGTTATTAACCTCATTTTACATTGAAGACACTAAAATGTTCAGATGTTAAATAACTTGCTCAAGGTCAGACAGTTAAAGTTAAACAGATTTCAAATCAGATGTCTTTGTAAGAAAGCCTTGTCACGAGGCTAGACTGCCTCTTAAGTGAATAAGGTAAATAAAAGAAATGCTGTATGTGTTTAAAAGAAATGTTGACATAAAGGAAAGGAAATCATCAATAAATTAATGAAATGTTCAAATTACAGACTTTAAAGTAAATACAGATTTAGTTTTATACTAGCTATAAAGTAAGTCAGTAATGAGTACCATTAAATATAATGAAATAAGCTAATGAAAAATAAAGATAAAATTAAATTTCACAGTATCTGTTACATATATATCAAAAATTTTAAAGTTAGAATTATACCATTTGTTATCTCATTTATGCCGTGTGTAA